GGGCGGCGGGGCGGCGGGGCGGCGGGGAAAGCGGCCAAGCGAGTGGCACTGAGGCAGGGGATGGCGTGCTATCAAGGCGATGTTGGACAGCTGCCTTTGTCGCACGCCATCGCGTCGAGTGCTCGCAACACCTCTTCTCGCTCTAACATCCTCGCCAAGATCATCGATCGGGATGGCCTTCTCCCGATGCGATGGCCTCTCCACATGCGCCTCGTTCACGCGCCTCTTTGCCGGGTTCAATGCCTTCCTGCTCCGGGTCCGCTTGGCACACGACCACCACGCATAGACACCAACGACTCTCTCAAGCCTCAATGCTCGCATAAACGACCCTCGCACCCGAACTCTGGAATACTTGGGTATGGCGTCCGAGGCGGTGCAGGCCGGCGCCTCTTCGCCGTCGGCGCTGGTGGATTTCATCGCAGGTACGGCTGCCGGCATCGCGTCGCTGCTCGCAGGCCACCCTTTCGACACCGTCAAGACACGACTACAAGCCCAGCCTGCCGCAACACCACCGACTTCAAGCTCGGCTGTCGAGTCTTTGCGGCCGTCGCTTGCGGGATCTTCGCAATTCGTCGGCTCGTATAGGGCGATCCCCACTTCGGGCGTGCTGAGCTATGCGCATGTCCAGTCGTCGGCCGTTGCAAGTGAAGCCGTTTCGGTGCCAATATACCGGTCTGCCACCGATGCCTTCCGGATGATCATCAAGGAGGAGCGGGCCGCTGGGCTGTACAAGGGCGTTACGAGCCCGATGCTCGGGGTGGCCGTGATGAACGCGTCGATATTCGGGCTGTACTCGATGTCGTTGCGGTACCAGCAGCAGCACGGGTATCTGGAGGGCTATCCGATCACGCAGGTCTTCGTCGCCGGAATGCTGAGCGGACTCGGGAGCTCGCTGATCACCTCGCCGATCGATCTGGTCAAGATCCGCGAGCAGATGAACACGCACACGCGGCCGAGCACCTGGCAGGTCTTCCGCGACGTTCTTCGCAGCGAGGGGCTCTTCCGCGGAGTGTATCGCGGCTGGTGCACTACGGCAGTGCGGGATCTGGGGTACGGACCTTACTTTGCGTCGTACGAGATGCTCAATAGCCAGATCAGGGCGTATACGGACCGGCCGCTGTCGAATGTAGACATGGCGGTGAGTGGAGCAGTCGCGGGTGTGGTAGCGTGGGTAAGCACCTTCTGGGCCGACGTGATCAAGACCAAGATCCAGGCCACTTCGGCGAGCGACTACCGCGCCGGAAGCTTGTTCTGGACCACGGCGAGACACACGTATGCGCAGGGCGGATGGAGAGCCTTCTTTGTCGGTGTAGGCCCTACCATCCTGCGTGCGCTGCCGGTGAATGCGGTACTGTTCGTGACGTACGAAACGACCAAGCAGATGCTCATCTCACACGGCTTCTGACGACTGTATTTTGTAGACCACCTGTCATTGCAATGCGTTGCGGCGAAAGCTAGTGGTTGAGGTGGTGCGAGAGACGCTTGATGTGGGTGGTGAGACGGTGCGCTTCGGCTTGCAGGCCACTGCCCTTGTCGAGGGTGATGGCCTCGGTGACGCCGGGGAAGGTGGTGGCGCCGTAGCCGAGCCATCGGCCCGGAGCGGTGCCGAGGTGCTTGTACCAGGCTCGGCCCTTGAGACCGTCGTTGGAGATGAAGCCCTGCTCGAAGGTCTGGAGCTTCTGGTTGACGCGCCTGATCTGCGCAAGCACCTTGCGGATCTCCTTGTCGTGTCCGCCCTGCTTGTGCACCTTCTTGGCGAGATGGACGAGCCTCTTGCGAAGGAACGCCTTGTTCTTCTCAAAGCCCTTGGCCGCTACGCCGAGCGAGTGGATCGCAATACGCAGCTCACCGAGCCACGCGGGATGGCGCGCGCCGAGGGGGATGCCGAGCTCCTTGGCGGCGAGCTTCTCGATGTTGGCGAGGTACTTGGTGAGTTCGTGTGCGTAGTCGGCCACATTGATGGGTGCAAAGAGCTGCGTGGACGTCTCGATCGCCATGAGGCCGACGATCTTGGCCGCAGCTTCGTGGCGTCGGAATCCCGGGTCGCCAAAGTTGTCCATCCAGAAGAAGCTGTCGTAGTTGGAATGGTACATGTAGACTGAATCCTTGGCGGCGCGTTTGTAGCCCAGGTCGGTGGATGCCACACCAAGGTGCTGGAGGAAGACGGTGTAGTCCGAGCCGGAACCGAGCGGGTTGAACGCATCGAGCTTGATCTTTCCCGAGGTGTTGGGATCGTCCACCTTGGCTGCAGCATCCTGGACGAACCGCGAGAGCGAGGGCGAGGAGCTCGACTGGATGACCGAGCCCGAGACGGAGACGTCTACGTTGTGGTAGGCGACGACGTGGTCCTGGATCCACTTTGCATAGTCTTCGCCAAACTCGGTGGATCCGACGAGGCCGTACTCTTCGGCGTCCCAGGAGGCGAATACGATGGTGCGCATGGGCTTCCAGCCGGAGCGGTAGAGCTGGCCGAGCCCCTTGATGGCTTCGTGGAAGGCAGCGGTGCCCGAGTTGGGGTCGGCCGCACCGAACGTCCACGCATCGCGATGGTTGCCCAGCACGACGACTTCGTCGGTGATGTGGCCGGGGAGCACGGCGTACGTGTTCCAGATGTCGCGCACCTGGAGGTCGACAAAGTTCTCGAGGTGAACCACGTCGTCGGAAGGACCGGTCCAGTACTCGACGCCGTCGATGGCGCCGGCGAGGCGGTCGTTGACGTCGCTCGCGCGGATGCCCTTGCCCTTCATCGCGGCAAGCAGCACCTTGGCTTCGGTGTACGAGAGCGGTAGCGAGGGGATCTTGGGCAGCGAGTCGGCGTCTTGGGGCTCGAGGCGCGTCGCGTTGCGGTACGACGGCTTGCCCGGCGTCGAGGGATCACCGGGGTAGAAAGACAGGCCTTGCACCGAGCCGCGCTGGATGGCCGAGGGGTTGCGAGCCGGACCGTCGGGATACGCTTTGTAGCCGTTGGCCTCGGTGACCTCGCCGTCCTCGATGGTGTCGGTGTAGATGATGACGCCGACGGCACCTGCTTCCTGCGCCGCACGCACCTTGAGCCCGCGGAAGTTGGAGCCGTAGTCGACGAGCACGATCTTGCCCTTGACGTCGATGCCGCGCGCAGCGAGGTCGGCAAAGTCCTGCTTCCTGCCCATGCCGGCGAAGACGACCTGGCCGGAAACGCTGCCGGAGGCCGAGTAGCCGTGGAAGAAGGGCACGCCGCGCGAGCTGGTGGGGTCCTTTTCCAGCACGTCCTCCTGCAGCTTGGCGGACCAGTAGGGCGCGTCGAGCGCGTCGGGCTTGGCGAGGGTGAGCGACGAGTTGACGGGATAGTTGAGCCAGACGGCATACGTGTCCGTCCAGGCCCTCACGCCGTTCTTGTCGCCTTCGCCGCGGAGGTAAGCCTGACTCTGGGGAGAGCCGGCATCGAAGACGAGGTGCTTGAGGTCGTCGGTGAGCGGTGCACCGACGAGGGTGCCCCACTCCTCGAGGATCTGGAGCGCCGAGTTGTAGTCGCCTTCGGAGCCGGCGTAGTGGGTGACGTTGGTGTAGCGCTTGAGTGCGTCGCGCGCGCTGTCGGCACTGGGCACGGCGAGGAAGTCGTTTTCGAGCTTGTCGAACCACTGCCTCCAGCGCTGCTCGGGATCGGGCCTTTGCAGCGAGTCGGCGTTGGCTTCGGCGCTGAAGAAGCCGACACTGCGCAGATGCTCGGCATAACCTCGAACCGAGCTCGCAGCATGCGGGCACGGCCGCGTGAGACGGATGAGCGCATCTGAGACGAACTCGGCTGTCGACTTGACCACGAAAAACGGCACGGCAAGCAAGAGTACGAGTGCGATGAGGGCGCGGAATCCTCGGAACGAGTAGGTCTTGCCAATGGGGGGCACCCGGATATTGACCTGGATGGGGCTGGCTGGCTTGGAGTGCGACGGCGCTGCTTTCTCGTCGGCGTAGTCGTTGTCGAGCATGAGCGGCGTCGAGGCGAGTGCCTCCGTGTCGAAGTGCTGGAAAGGAGCCATGGCGATGCAGCACCCTTCAGAGGCCAGAAGGAAGGGACGATGCCAGAGAGATGGTGGTTTGGTATCGAGGCAGTTGCGGAGCAGGGGTCGACGGGCTCAAGTAGTCTCGAGGTGAAGCTTGTGCGGTCTTGTGCGGCACGTTGCGTGCTTGTGACCTTGTGATGGGACGAGCTCCCAAAAGCCCGTCCAACTCGCCGGGATCGGCTTTGCACTGTGATTCTGCCCCAGCGGCGGCAATGCTGCGTCTTGTTGCGGTGTGTCGACTGGGATGGATTGCCGCGCTGACGTCGCATTGCGGCAGCCGATCTTCGCTTTGGATGCCTTTCTTTGCCGTCCAGAGCCGGACGGATGTGCTCCGACGATCCGAGCACGCAAAGAATCGAGGCCGTGCGCCGAGATCTCGTATGTTAGACCGAAGCTACTCACCCGATCTCACCATGCCGATCTGGGCACGATTGGATGTGGGAGTCTTTTTAACTTTTTGCCTCCACCTGAGCCTTGTCCATGTCGCTCCGGCGAGGGACCCTTTCCTGGCAACCAACCATCACCACCGACAACGACAAGCGCAGCCATGTCGAGTCTGGGCGCGCGCGCGTCCTCGTCCGCATCCACCTCGAAGCTCGCGCACATTCCCGGATGGGGCGTCATCACGCGCTACTCGCGCTCGCACCGCAAGTCGACCTTCCTCATCGGCGTCTTTACGGGCCTCGTACTCGGGCTCGGCTCGATCACCTCGGTCTTCTTCCTCGCCGAGCGTCGTGAGCGTCGTCGCCGGCGCCGCAAGCTGCGCTCGTACGGTCTCGACGAGGAAGACGAGGAAGAGCGTCGGCGGCGCGAGCTGCGCGGACGCGACCCGATCCAGATCCGCTCGGGCCAGGTAGTACGAGGCGTCGAGGGCCTGATCGGCAACACACCGCTCATGCGCATCAACAGTCTCTCCGACGCCACCGGCTGCGAGATCCTGGGCAAAGCAGAGTTCCTCAATCCCGCCGGGTCGCCCAAGGACCGCGTGGCGCTGCAGATCCTGTGCGATGCAGAGGACGAGGGGCTGCTGTACCCGCACACGGGCAGCTGCATCTTCGAGGGCACGGTGGGGAGCACGGGCATCTCACTCGCCACGCTCGCGCGCGCAAAGGGATACCGCTGCAGCATTGTCATTCCCGACGACGTGGCGAGGGAAAAGGTGGAGCTGCTCACCAAGCTCGGTGCCGAGATCCAGTCGGTCCGGCCGAGGGGCATTGTGGATCCGCGCCACTTTGTCAACGAGGCGCGCGCGCGCGCCGAAGCGTTTGGCGACGTCGAACTCATCGGACCCCACCCCACGGGCTTCGGCACCTCGGGATATGCAGGCTCCGATGGGGGCCAGGGTGAAGAGTACGTGCACCGTGACGACCTCGTAGTCTCGTCCCGGCGCCCCGCGGGTGATGTGGATGCAGACGCGCCCGAGATGGTGTCCGAAAACCAGCCGCGCGGGTTCTTTGCAGACCAGTTCGAGAACCCGTCCAACTTCTGGGCGCACTACAACGGCACGGGGCCCGAAATCTGGCGGCAGACAGGGGGGCTCATTGACGCCTTTGTCGCCGGCGCGGGGACGGGCGGGACGCTTTCGGGCTGCGCAGCGTATCTCAAGCGCGTCTCGTGCGACCCGGACGAGTCGATGCGCGCGGGCGGCTTCATCGCACGTCCAGGCTCGGCTCAGGAGGTCCAGGTGGTGCTCGCCGATCCACAAGGAAGCGGGCTGTACAACAAGGTCAAGTACGGCGTCATGTACAGTCCCACCGAGGCTGAGGGCAAGCGCAGAAGGCATCAGGTAGATTCCGTCGTAGAGGGCATTGGCATCAACCGCGTCACGCGCAACCTCCAGATGGGCCTCCAGTGCATCGACGACGCAGAGCGCGTCTCGGACGATGAGGCGGCGCGAATGGGCAGATACCTCATCCTAAAGTAAGTCCGTCCCCCCACTTCCTTGTCCCGGAGTGCGAGTGCGAGTACAAGCTGACGTTGTTTCGGTGGGTCGCGATAGTGACGGGTTGTTTTTGGGTTCGTCGTCGGCGGTTAACTGCGTTGCGGCGGTACGTACTGCGCTCAGGCTGAAGCGCGAGCGGGGTGGCGATCCGCCTCCGGTGGTAGTGACGATTCTGTGCGACTCGGGTGCGCGCCACGTGTCCAAGTTCCACGACGACGATGCGCTGGTGCGTCTGGGTGTTGCCGATGCCGGTAGTGCGGATATCTCGGACATCCTCCATCCCTAGTTCATGGCAGTTCGACATTGTACTCTTTGCACGCGTGTTTCGCGATCGACACGAGTTCTTTCCACTGCCACTCCTTTGCATCCGCTACGTCTCGTTGCGCCGCACAGGCGGTGGCTGTGCCCTTGGATGTGATGCGCTCGACGTCGTCGACGAACCTTTTCGCTCCTGCTCGTCCGTTTGCGTAGAGTGTGGTGAGGAGCGCGGGGGAGATGCGGTCGAGCCACCACTTGGAGTTCCAGAAATCGCCCTCGCGCCGATGCAGCACCGCATGCACGAGATCCGACAGCGGGGTGCCCTCGTCCGTCTGCACTAGGTTGTGCGCCGCATCCAGGTCGTCGTTGAGCAGGTGCAGTGCTCCGCGCAGGGGGGTGGCCAGCGTGCTATCAGCGATGGCGGACTTCGCTTCCGCAGAGTACGGCCGTTGGGGGCGCAAAGGCGGAAGAGCCCCGGCCGAGTCGCGCTCGAACAGAACCGAAACTTCTGCGGGAAGGCGGTGTGTAGACGCCATGGTTGTAGGATGGAATGGTGGGAGGAAGGATGACCGTGCGCGTGGAAAGAAGCCTCCACTTCGAGAGAACGTCTTTGGCCCGATCTTGCAATCACGTGAGCCGATGCGCCGATGGCATACTGACCCCCCATCCGCCATGGCTCCGTCGGAGTCGTATCGACTCGGTTGTAGGCATGCTCGCCGACATTCTTTCCGCCGGCATATCGGGGCAGGCAAGAGATGGCGAGGCAGGTGCGTCATCTCGGGCGCTCGGCAAATCGGTCCACAGCCGCCATATGGTTAAAGCTCGTTGCGAGGCTGCTAGTTTTGCGCTGCGTGACGCCATGTTCATGCCTCGCCTCGCGCGGTGAGGACGCGGGAAAGGGAGATAGGCACCCGCCGGCCCACCTTCCGTGCAGCTGGGG